ATTAAAAGAATTTGCTAAAATAACCTTAAAATGTGACGTGAATCGTAGAAAAAAAGAAAATTCTTTTTAAAATGATTTCTTTTCTTTTCTTTAAGGAAAAGTCATTTTCCAGACAGATAAATTTGAACAACAAAACTTTTTTCCTACTTTTTTTTTCTTTTTCTAATGATTTTTTTTTTAAAAGATTTTTATTTAAAATTATCTTTTTTAGATTTAAAAAAAAATAACATAAAAAATCTATTTATTATTATTATTATTATTATTATTATTATTATTAGATTAAATATTATTAATTTCCTTTTTTTAAAAAATTGAAAATTTATGCTTTTGTGTTTTTTTTTTTTTTTTTTTAAATTATTTAATTAATAATAATGATTATGATGTTGTTTTTTTCTTTACTAAAAATAAATTATTAATAATAATAATATTTAATCCAAATCCCAAGCGTATAAGTTATTATTATTATTATTATCATGAGGTTTAAAATAAATTTAAAAAAAAAAAAAATTTATGTTTAACCTTTTTTTTTATAATTATTTTGATTTATTTATTAAAAGAAAAATGGTTAAAAATCATAAAAACGACCCTTTTACTAATATTAATTAATAATATTATTTAATAATATAAAATATATATTAATATAAATACGAAAAAAAAATTAAATTTAAAAAAAATTTTTTTTTTCTCTGCTTCTTTTTCACATGTCGTTACTTTATTTATTTATTTTTTTAATTTATGTGTGTGTGTGCGCGTTTTACATTTAAAAAAAAAGATGTGTGTGTAAAATATGTTGTAAAGGTTTTATAGTGACATAAAAGTCAATTTAAAATTTTAAAATATCAAAAAAATGTCTCATGGGATCAGATAACCAGGTTTAAAAGCCTACCTACGCCATTTTTTTTTTTTTTCACTTTAATTAAAGTATTTTATTTTCTATTTAACTATGGCTTTAAAATTAAAGAATCTAATTTAAGTTGTAAAACAAACTCTTTCTATCTATCTATCTCTCTTCTTCTATCATCAAATAACATTCCTATATTTATTTATAATTATTTTATTTATTTACCCTTTTCCTTTCCTTTCCTTTCCTTTTTTAAAGATGTTTCTTGATATTATTATTATTATTATCAATCAACTTCCTCTCATGATGTAAATGAATATACTTTATAAAAGGAAAACAAAACTTTTATACAATTTTTTTTTTTAAATTATTTTTATTAATATTGTCACATAATATTAATAGATGTTACATAATACTTATTGATCTTAATAACTTTTTTTTTTTTGTACTTTGAAAAAAAAAAAATTTTTTTTAAATAAATACAATGCCAGCAGCCATTTTTCTTTTTTTTTTTTTTTTACAATTAATTCAAAATAAAATTAATTAAAAATATTAAATTATATATTTATATATTTATTTAAAAAAAAAAAGTACATTTTGATATAATTTATATAAAATAATTTTTTTAGGCAATTCATTCATTGTACACTATTACAAATAATAATAATAATAATAATAATAATAAGGAAAATAATATAAAATAATAATACTGAGTAATATTTCATTTTAAAAAAATTATTTTCGAACAAAATAATAATGACTTTTGTTATTGGTTCATTTTTTTTTTTTCATAATAGTAATTTTACTCGGGAGAAAAAAAAAAAAAAAAATGAACACAAAATTTTATATAAAAGTTTTAAGTAGTTACAACCCTGAAGGTAAATATCCTGCATATTATCACAAACCCCTTAGCTATAATAGAGTTTAAAAACTCTTTAGGCAAGAAAGAAAAAAAAAAAAAAAAAAAAATTACTTTCCTAACATATTTTCTATCACAGTTATTGATTGATTAATTTAATATTTACTTTCGATGGCATAAATACAAAATATAAAGTCAAATTATTATTTAAAATCATATATCGCTGACTTATATGGCGGATTGTAATCGATTTGAAATCCACAATAAGATGAATCTATTGTCATGATTCTATCGTAAAAATCCCAAACGGCAGAAAAATGAAATAATATGTTACTAGCTACCACACCATATTCGAAAAATGCAAATAATGAATAAACTGAAAGAAAAATGATAATAATAATAATAATAATTAATTGAAGTATTATTATACCTAGTAATCGATAATCTTTTATATACCTCTAGGCTCACAATATATGTTATGCCTTCTAAAAAAGTATCCTGCTAAAAAAAAACAACATATGTTTATAATGGAACATCTAATTTTCCATTTTACGCTGCCTTTTTCCGAATTTTCCAATGGAATTTTCCTTCTAAATTTAAGTAGAAAGCACGATAGAACCATATAAAACATGGACGAAAATAAAAATGAAACAAAGCAAAATGCATGAATATCTGAAAGAAGTATAAAATAAGAAATTTTTTATATGATTGTTACTTGTTGTCTGTCATAAAATAAAATTAATAACATCACAGAGAAAGTAAAAGTAAACAATGTGTGATGTGTGCATAATAAAAAATGGATTCATAACCAACGATACTTACTGTAATTACTCGTTGAGGTAATCAATGATAATCCTAATAAAGCCCATAATTCACAAATATTAAAAATCCATGATAAATAGCATAGATGAAAATATTTTTCATGAATAACAGATGAATAATAATGAAGGTAAATGGTTGCTATTTTTAATCTTGGAATCATTTGTAAAATAACAGAAGTGTTCCATACATATATTTGAGGATAAAAATGACCTATTGCAGCCGATATTGAAGGTAAGAAATTTTCTACAGAACAATGAGTAGCATTAGCTTCTTCAAAATTATATAATATCGACCAAATGACACAAAAAAAAAATGTTAAAAAAGATGAAGTGACACACAGCCATGTTACACTTGGAATTGAAATTTTAAATGAGAAAAAATTTCTTTTTTTATATATTTTCATAACGTTGGGTCCTTTTTTGTTATAAATAGGCAAAAGGACTTCCGTATCTGACGTTTTCAACTGTTAAAACATAAAAATAAAAAACAAAGAACAATAAAAAAAAAAAATGCAATTAACAAAGATAAAAAGGTATTATATTATTTCTATGGTTAACTTACCATTTTAAATAATTTTTTCCTTATAAAAACAATAAAAACCCTGAGATAAGCAATTTGAAATAAAAATCATTTTACAAAATAATGCAAACGTCAATAATAAAAAAAATTTTTCAAGCTTTAAACTATTTAATAATGTAACAAAATTTAAATATATAATAAAATCTTTATAAATTTAAATGATTTCTAAAAACAATTGTCATGATATGACAATTATAAGGTTAACCAAAATATTTCAACTTATAGTTACAAAATAATAAGTAAAACAACAAATTTAATAATATAAAAATAATAAAAATTAGTAATTAAATATAATTTAATTTTTTAACTTGATAAACAATAAATTTTTCTCTTATGGCAATAAAATATATATATATATTTTTTTTTCATTATAACCTATATAAATTTTATACATTGATAAGCATGGTTTACTTAAAAATTTCATAGGTGGCAGCATAATGATATTAAATTTAACTGAAAATCAAACTTGTTTTTTTTTTTTTTTTTTTAAATAATATAATTTACTTTATTTAGAAGCATAATTACTTTTTACAAATACGGAATTTTAATTATTTTAATTATTTTCTTTTTTTGCATTATCGCCATATGAAAGTTATAAAAACATCTTCTTTAAAATAATTTTACAACTCTAAATTAGTTTCAATTAAATCCTAATATGAACAAATAGACTTTTATTTTCTTTACTTAATTATATTTAATAATGAGTAATTAAAAATTTTAATGCATATTATGATGAAATTTTTCAAAATATAACATAAGTGAAAAAATTAAAATGGATTCCTTTAACAACTTAATAAGAATTAATAATAAGTTTTGATACAAAAACATTAAAATTTTTGTTTTTATGTTTTTGAAGTAATAACAACTAATGAACTGAATATTTCTGAAAATAATAAACCATAAGGAAAGGAAATTTTTTATAAAAATTAAATATGTATTTGAAATTTAAAAATAAAAATTAATAACGAAACAGTATCGAGTATGAATAAAACCTAGTAATAATAATAATAATAACTTGATAATATCAAATAATTTTCGTAACATTTTTACATGGCGGTGGAATTTTGTAAACAAATCGGTTATGATGACCGTTTTTTTTCAATTTAATTTTGTTTGTGCATTTATTGTAATAGTATTATTTAATTTATTTATTTTTAGTTGTAGCAATGAATTTTGCAGTAAAACTGACGGCACGTGTTCAGGTGAATTCGATGAAAATTTAGGGAAAAATAAATACCAAGATGATTTTGCTAGTAAAATAATTTCAAAAATTAATTTCGCCGAAAGTAATTACAAAAATTGTCCGTACTCTAACTGCAGTTGTTTTTTCAAAACTTTGAAAAATGATTTGAAACCATTCAAAAATGGTATCACAAGAGAAATGATCGACAGTATTAGGTCCAGAGGTACAACCTACATTATTTATGAAAAACGTTTATACAGGGACAAAGACTGTTTATTTCCATCCAGATGTAGCGGAATCGAATATTTTATTAAAAAAATTATTTCTCATTTAAAAAACACAGAATTAATAATTAATACTAGAGATTGGCCGCAAATCAGTCGTCATTTTAAATTGTTTGGTCCCGTTTTTTCTTTTAGTAAAACTCAAGATTATTTAGATATAATGTATCCGGCTTGGTCATTTTGGGAGGGAGGACCTGCCATCAAAACTTATCCCACTGGTTTGGGAAGATGGGATCTCCATAGAAAAAAATTAAGCGAAGAATCATCAAAATGGCCTTGGAATAAAAAAAAATCAATCGGGTAAATTCAACATCATCATTATTATTATTTTTTTTAATATTTAAATTAAAAAATATAATTAATAATCTGATAGGAATAAGTAAATTTTTAAAAAATAAATTGATTTATTTATTAATATTGCAGATTTTTCAGAGGGTCTAGAACTTCTGAAAAACGAGATGTTCTTGTTTTGCTATCGAGAAAAAGACCTGATTTAATAGATGCTCAGTATACAAAAAATCAAGCATGGAAATCATTAAAAGACACATTAGGAAAGGAACCAGCTGAAGTAGTATCGCTGGAGCACCATTGTCAGTATAAATATTTGTTTAACTTTAGAGGTGTAGCTGCCAGTTTTCGTTTCAAACATTTATTTTTATGTGGATCGCTAGTTATCCATGTTGGAGAAGAATGGTTAGAATTTTTTTATCCAGCTATGAAACCTTGGATTCATTATGTTCCCCTCGATGAAAATGCATCCGAAAAAGATATAACTGATTTAATTTATTTTCTCAAAGAACATGATGATTTAGTTCGAGAAATTGCTGAACAGGGTCAAAAATTTATAATGAATCACTTAAGATTTGAAGAAATAAAATGCTATTGGCGTAACTTATTAAGAAAATATCAAAAACTATTAACATATAATGTAACACTTGATGAATCTCTAATCGAAATAAGATGAAAAAGTAATGAAATTTTCTATAAAAAAAAATTTACAATTGTATTTTTTTATAATTATTTACATCAAGGATAATAATAGTATTTTTATAACATTTTTTGAGTATTATTGGTTGTGCTATACTATACATTATATAAATAAATTATACTTAAAAATTATATTCCTTTACAATTTTTTTAAGCCATATTTTATATTGTATAATATTTTTCATATCAAATATAAATTTATACAAAATATAATTGAAATTTTAAAAGGAAAAATTTTTTTCTTAATAAATTATTTTCCTGTATTTTAATAATTTGAAGTATTATATTTTAAAAAAAAAAAAAAAAAAGACAATTTCTTAGAAGATATGAGAGGAACAGGTTTATTGTATTTCAAATACTCCCCCCACTCTTAACTATCAACGAACAATCGAGAAAAAAAAAGGCGGTTTCCGGTTTAACGGAAGATAAAATTTTAATTAGTTAAATTCAGATGTTGGTAAAATACAATGGCAGAACAAGAGATCTTAAATAATTATTCGGAACTACTCATTTTCACTGATTTTTATTCATTAATTGTAGTTGATTATATGTCATGTTTAAAGTCGAAATAAATAAATTGAATAATTTAATAAAATATGAAACAATTTACGGGAATTTTTCACTTCTTTTGGAGGTTTTGTTATATTTATAATGTACATGGTTTTATGTGCAGCCCCAAGGTAAGTGATTTTGTTCAATTAATGAATAATTTGTTCTTGTTTTATTTTAATTTTTAATTACTTACTATCTTTTTCTGTTGCTTTAATAAGTTATTATACTTATTATCTATTTATTTATCTGTTAACTGTTATTTTGATACAATTTTATCAAATATTCACTATACCATTGCTTATTTCGCTTTTTATGGAATTCCTTTGTTTAATTATAAAACTTTTATATTTTAAATATGCATTATTTTCTCAGGTGTTTTTGTGTCAGCATCTCATTCAAAAGAAGGATATAATTATAATACTGTCACAGTTGTTTTTTTGACAGAAGCATTAAAACTTTTACTAGCATTTGCTTGCTATTTAAAAGAGTAAGTGACATTTTTATTTTTCTTATAATTCTGTTACACAATTTGTTGTTTTTAACTAATTAATTTTATTTTAATGATTCATAATTATCATTAAATTATTATCTTTTGTATTCATTTGTAAAAATTTGCATCATTGAGTTATCATGTAATTTGTAGTCATGTAATTTGAATTCTTCAACTCTCGGAAAAAACTCTCTCTTTAATTCGTCTATATTGTCGTTGTACTTTTAAGAATTTAAATTACAAATTTTCAAAAATTTTTCTAATGTCACACAATAATTGCAAATTTCAATTATAATAATTTTTATTATATACTAAAACTTAAGATAATACAAGTACTATTCAATGCAATTTTTAAAATAGTAATGTCCTTTAATTGTTTTTAATTTTTAGCCATTCACTACATTCGTTATGGAGTGAAGTTAGTGGAAATATGAAAATTTTATCTCTTTATCTGGTTCCATCATTTTTATACTGCATTTACAACAATTTAGCATTCATAAATCTATCTCATTTTGAACCCACAAATTATTTTATACTTCTACAATTGAGGGTAGTCATAACTGGAATCATATTCGAATTAGTTTTTAATAAAAAATTATCGAAAATTCAATGGATGTCGCTTGGACTTTTGACTTGCGGTTGTATAATACAACAAATTGATTGGAATTATTTTTTTAATTTGTATGAAAATCAAAATGCATCCATAAACAATGTTTTTTCAATTTATTTAATTCTTATTTTAATTCAGGTGAAAATTATAACATACTAAGTTTCATGTTTTGTGAAAGTATTACTTCACAATATTTTCACCATCTTTTTTAATATAATTAATATCATTACAGACTCTTTGTTCCTGCTTTGCCGGCGTTTATAATGAACATCTTCTCAAACAATCTGACACAAATGTTAATATTTTTATTCAAAACATGTTCATGTACTTAGATTCAATTTTTTGGAATTTAACAATACTCATTATTCAAGGTGAAACGGTATCGGCATTTTCCGAGGAATCATTTCGACCTATTTTTCGGCCATTAGTCGTGGCCATTATAATAAACAATGCATTCGTTGGAATAATAACTAGTTTATTTTTAAAAAATTTAAACAGCATATTAAAAACGTTTGCAAGTGCAATAGAAATTTTACTTACGGCCGTTTTGTGTTGGATTTTCTTCGGAATCGAATTAAAATTAAACACGATTGTCGCAATCGGTATAGTTTCCTATTCGCTGTATGTTTATTCAAAAAATCCTGTTGCGAATAGAACCAAAATTGTTCATGAAAAAACAAACGAAGAAAAAGAAGGACAACTTCAAAATGTTTAAATTTTTTTTTTTTGATTTTATCAAGACTTATTTGAATTATTTTAAATTTTAAAAAAAAAAATCGTTTACCTGTTATTAATTTAAATGAAATATTGTTTATCCCAATTTAGACATAAATTAGGATTTTTTTTTTTTTTTTTTTTCTAAAAAGAAATTAAACCAAAGTTTTAAAATACTATTTATTAAATATATAAAAAAAGAAAAAAATGAAACATTTGTTTTATTTTTAAAATAGTTTAATAACAGTTAATTTAGTAACGGTTTTTAAAAAAAAAACCGTTAATTTAAATTTGAGTTTTTTTTTTTTAATTTTGTTGAATAATTTTAAATATTTTTACAAATCATTTTAAATAATGGCACAAATTA